TCGCCAGTTAAAACTTTCTCAGCATAAAAAAATGATGATTTACTCACCAAAGAATGCTTCCTGGTTTTCCATGCTGAGGATATTGTTTTTGTTTTCACGAGTAAATTACCTAAACAAGAACATTATTTTTATCATCATCATTATCCTCAGCTTGGTCTTTATGAAACACCTAGTCCCCAAATCGTTAAATTGCTGACCGTTCACTTTTTTCTGGTAATTGGTTTACACTAACCAGCGAATCAGCTACCAGTAGTCCGCTTTTTTCTTTGAATTCCTGTATGCCTTCGATTATACCTTCTGGGCTACTGAGAAAGATACCATTTCATCCCTGAGGACAATTTCTACTAGTTTTTCCTGTCTGGTTGGGATTCCTGCATTCATCTGTTGCAAAGGTTCGGACACCAGTCGTTGTATGTGCTGATATAGGTTGCGCTGTCCAATGATTGATACTGTATAGCAATGTTTCGCCAATAGTTAGAATACATTCTTGATGTATTCTTAGCCTAATTCTTAGCCTAATTGTTGTGATAAACTTATTAATTAGATAGAAGGTATCATGAGTGGCAGAGGACGAAACAGAACTGGTTCCACCTCTACGAGACTTCGAGCGAAATGTGGATCATGCGAAATTGCAGTACAGGCAGCTGGTTTGCAGTGCGAGGACTGTGACTGCTGGTTTCACCCAGAATGCGTAAACGTCTCTGATGGGCAATATCAGCTTCTACAGACCTTGACGACTACCTGCTGGTACTGTTCTCCTTGCTTCAAACAACGTCAAGACCGGTCGGTTATTGTTTCTCTATCTGCCACTGTAAATAAACTAGCCGAAAAACTCGAAAACCTTGATACCACCCTCAAATCAGTCGATGCTGCGCCGAAACAGGCCACTGGACAAGAGGTGGACTCATCTGAAAAAACATATCACAGTGATGACTCCTATAAACATCGTGTGAAAATAGTGGGTATCCAAGAGAGCGAGAAGAAATTCACAGATGCTAGACAGTTTGACGACAAGACATCTATCGAGAATATTCTGGGAAAACTAGAAATCAAAAACGCGAACGTAGCAGACTGTTTCCGCGCTGGCAAATACGATAAAACTCGTAACAGGCCACTTATAGTCTCGTTCAGCTCGATCTGGGACGCGCGACTCATCAGGTCGAAAGCAATTGAAAGAAAACTCTACCAAAGTGACTCCATTCTTATTTTGAATGAGCTGTCTCCTGCAGATCGTGCTGTAGAAAAACAGCTCCTAGCCAAACGACATGAGGTTATTCAGACGGGTGTTGACAAATCTAGAATAAAAATCCGAAACTTGAAACTATATGTTGATGGTATCGAAACGAAATGTGACAAGAACTGACTAAACAACTTGACACTCTACTTGCAAAATGCCCGTAGCCTGTTGACACTCAGTAGACGCCTTTCTTTCATAAAAGAAGTAAATCTGTTTAACCCGGACATTGTCTGTGTCACAGAAACTTGGCTAGACAAAGATCCAACAAGTATGATTTTCATGGAAACGGATTACAATATTGCCTCTTACTCCATCAGAGAAACTGGCGAACACGGTGGTACTCTTATCTTATGCAAGTCTACCTGTGACTATATTACTCTTCCGACAAATGTCGATTTTATTTCAGTCATTCTGATACCCAGTTCGAGTAAAGCGGTCATGTGCGTTTACAACCCTCCAACTAACAGTCATTATCGAGTTAATTGTGATGTTCTTATGAATCAAATTGAATCCATCGTAAATTCACGACTAAAAGGTTTTAAAATAATCACTTGTGGTGATTTTAACATGCCTGATGCCAACTGGGATACATTGACAGCAACAACCACAGATTCTTCCTCAGTAATTGACCATATTCTTGATATTGGACTAGAACAAATTGTTCACTTCCCTACTCACATTAGTGGAAATATTCTGGACCTTGTCTTTACAAACCTCTCTTATTCAGAAGTTTCGAGTCATCCTGTTAACTTTTCTGATCATACAGGTGTTGTGGTAAACTTTATTACGACAAGTGAAACAACCTGTAATAAAACCAACTCAGTTACCAACAAACGTCTACAAACCAATGTTTATGCTGATGTCTCACATGCGTTATCCACTTCTTTGTTTTCGGTAGAGCTTGATGTAACAAACCCGGGCTATCGGAATCACTGGCTTGATTACTTTTACAACATCATTGATGTGAACAGCTCTTTTATCAGAAGAAAGCGCGCCAGCTTACCGTATTTTTATTCCTCGCATTCAGTTCATCTTCTCAACAAATTACGTACTGCAGAAAGACGACTGTCAAAGCAGTGGTCCAAGTTTACCTATGGTACAGTAAAGCGTCTTAAGCAACAGTCGGCAGCTTCAATTGAAACTGACACTATTATATTCACTGAAAGCTTCACGTCCACAAACTCTAGTACAAACGACTGCTACAGACTGTTGAAAACTATAAATCAATCAATCAACCTACCAAAAATGATGAAGTTCGGAGAAAATGTGTTTAACGACAGCTACAGTATTGCTTGTGCGTTCAACCGTCATTTTGGTGACGTTTTTAATAAAGTCACTGGAACTTTCAGTGATTTTTCGGAATCAACACTCAACCGTGTCTCTATTCACTTCGATGACGTGAAGACCGCTCTGGAAAATTCATCACTCGGCACAGGTTTTGATAATGTACCCGGTGCTTTCTTACGGAACTCTGCCAGTGAAATAACTTTTCATGTACAGAAGCTTTTTGATAGTATTATCATTAGTGGCGAATACCCCTCACAGTGGAAAAACTCTTATATTACTCCAATATTCAAATCAGGTGACAAATGTGACATAAAATGCTATAGACCTATCAGTATTCTTTCTAAACTATCTTTGGTTTTCGAGCGGGTTCTTTATAACAAACTCTATCCTTTCGTGGCTGAACGTCTATCGCGATATCAATTCGGTTTCATAAGAAAAAGATCCTGCCAGGTACAACTTTTACTCTATTTGCATGATTTTGTCAAAGCACTTGATACCAATGATCAAGTTTTCGCCGTATATCTGGATTTCTCTAAAGCGTTTGACAAAGTACCGCATCACATCCTTTTACAGAAACTACGTAATTTTGGCATCGGTGGGGAACTTTTACTTCTTTTGGCATCTTACCTCACAGATCGAAAGCAATGCGTAAAAATAGACGGCCGTTATTCCTTTTTTATCGATGTTCTAAGCGGGGTACCACAAGGATCGATTATTGGTCCCCTCTTGTTCATAATTTTTATCAACGATTTACCAGATAGTTGTTTTACGTCTTGTATGTATCTGTTCGCGGACGACAGCAAAAGCAGATCCTCTAGCATAGAAGATCTACAGCGGGACCTCGATCGATGCGTTGAGTGGGCAAATTCAAACGGTATGACCTTCAATACTGATAAAACCGTTTTAATTCACTTTGCTAACAAACATATTTTACCAAGCCCGTATCATCTAACACTGGGCGAGAATATCATTTCTGACAGCTGTGATGTGAAAGACTTGGGTGTGAAAATATCGAAAAACTTAAACTGGAGATCCCATATTAGTTGGAAAATCAAGACATGCTATAGCATATTCTTCTCTATCAAACGAACGATTCCATTTGCTACTCCAATATCAACTAAAACTCGACTGGTTAAAGCTTATATTCTGTCCTCCTTGTGTTACTGCTCTCCGATATGGTATCCTAGTCAAACAGAGTTGAGAAGCATGGATGTTCTGGTGTCTCGTGTCACAAAATGGGTCACAACTGGCACTTACAGAGAAAGACTAACAAAGTGTAAACTGATGCCCATTGATGTGTACCTGGAGTACCTGGACCTTATTTTCTTCAATGCTCTCTTAGCTGGAAAACAGGATGTTTTGATATGGAACTATGTTACTCTTAGATATGACATGAGGTACAACTTACGTAGTTCAGAAAAACCGGTTTTCCTGGTTTCGAGCAGTCGACGAGCGTGCTATGGCCAGTGGTTTTTCAACAGGGTTGTAAAGAGCTCGAACAAACTCCATTCCAACAGCGATATCAGCCTATTTGACACACCAAGTATTTTCAAGGCTAAGTTAAAAGACTATTTTTTAGAAAAAAAAACACTGACTGATTTTTAACTTTTTATTTTTAACTTCACCCAGATTGTTTTTAAACAATTAAAGTCTTATACTACTACTACTACTACTACTACTGATCTATCACAAAATCCAAAGCAAGAAGGCAGGGTAAGCAGTCGTGGCGTGTTTTCTTCTTTGTCAATTCTAGTTACGGCTTCCAGGTGAAGTGCCCGCTCTAAAGCATTCGCAATGTTCATGTCTTTGTCCCCAAATGTCTTGCGGAGTTCAAGTTTACCTAGGCTGTGGTGGATCCCTTGGAGAAAAACTCGAAGCACTAAGTGATCCCGTATGTCCTGGGACTCGTCTGGGTTCGCCATCAGCGCCAATTGCTGTAATTCCCTCAGAAAATCTGTTAACTTTTCACCTGCCTGCTGCACTTGACGTGCTAGCTGCCCGCCGAAGACCAACGGTTTTTCATTGTAATGTCTTTAAAAAGCTTTAACGGTCTCATCGTAACTCTCTTGCAAATGCTGTATTAATGCTGGAGTCCTTTTTGCGATGTTCATCAATCTTTGTGGCTAAATGCCGCATTGATTGACAGGTGGATATACTTTCATTACATGTAAGCTTATACACCACTTTGGGTTAACGTTCACATGCAAAGAAAGTTTTGAGGGAGGACAATTTTTTAAAGACATTGTTATTTAATTTAGTAGTTTTTCGACATATTGGCCTCGGTTCCATTTTCTACTTTTGAGTTTCATCACAATAAGTGCGAAGCTCTGATTCGCCGCAGTGTGCTTTGAATCAAAAAGCATTTTATAAATCGAGGAAAAGCGTAAACACTAGAAATCCTGCTCGTAAGGTTTCTTGAACTCTAGGACAGTTTTTTCGTTAATTTAAGAATCGTGTAAAGCTTCAATTTGTTTTCAGATCTGATGTAGATATTAACTGGTTTTGGGCTCTTTGTTTTGCAAATTTATTTAGGAGCATGGCTAACTTCCACTGTAGCGAGTCCTACCGGTGGTCTGGAAATGATGTAATAGGAAAGGGTTCAACGGCAACCGTATTCAAAGGGCGTAATAAGGTCAGCTTTTCTTGCAAATGAAAATGAAAAATTTTTTTTTTTGCAACATGAATACAAAATGTGGCTATGAAAACAAAAACGTTTTATTTTTAATTATTATTTTTCAATATTCGGAATTTTTTTTGTTAACAAGTTTGTCTTAATTCAAAGCACGTATTTTAGCTCGTGATCCTGTTGTTCTCTCTGCTAATGTTTCCAGTGGTTTTGTTGTACCCAAGAATTATTAGCACTTTCATAAAAATCGAAACGTTGTCCCAGTATCGAGAAAAATTGGGTGAACGTTTTTTCAGTGTTAAAATATTTTCGAGGGGAGTAAAGCGATCGAGTATATTTCTTATTCTTTTTTTTGAAGACAAATGTTGTGGTTTATACCTAATGTATTAAACTTTATATGCGTTTGTGTAGGTCTTTCATGACACCACGCAAAAGAAAAATCACTTATTTGAAGAATTTTTTGTAAGAGAAAGTTTTTTTAAATTTTCAAGATTGACGCTCATGTAACTGAAATCCAGCGACTTGGAAAGTTCGCAATTGATCGACAAAACCTAGAACACTATTAGTTAAAGTTGCATGAGGCTAGATTTATCATTGTAAAAAGTCACAGAATTCAAAGAAAAACCAGAGAAGGAAAAGTACCGATAAAAGGAGATAAACCAAATACGCTACTAAACGTACAAGTTTATATGTTGATTGAGTTTTTTTTTTTGAGTTTTCTCTTCTAACATTTCGTTCAGCGTAGATGAGTTTGATTAAAAGAAACCGACTTCAACTACTTTCGATAACTCGAAGAAGACTATTCCGAAAATTTTGAGCTCTCTAAATGAAAACATATGAAAACTTAATGACGACAAATACGAGTAAATGTAAATTACTAAATTTAAGATGAAATCTATCCGCCAAACTGAACGACACCGAACTGCATCCCACGAATGTTCAAAAGGATTTGGGCCTCCTAATAACCCCAAATCTTACATGGAACGAAAACTGTGAAATACGTGCCCAAAAGGCAACAAGGGCCTTTTTCCAATTAAAACGAAACCTATCCGCTACGTGCTCATGGGTTAACAAACTCCACTCGTATACTGGCTACATCGTCCCGATTATAACTTACTGTTCACAAGCTTGGTCACCAAGTAGAGTCAACTTAGTAAGTTTCGAACGAGTACAAGTAATGGCCACACAGTAGATTCTTAATTGCAATCTTGACTACTGCCATTATGCCCCTACGTTGAAATGCACGATCTTATGTATTTATCCTTAGTAACTTCCAAAAATGACATATCAATTGCTGTTGAATCTTCTAAGGAAGAAAAAACTCGCCAACACAGCAGAGGAGAACATGCAGTCAACAAAAACAGACTGAACAAATCAGACGAAAACTTTTTTCACAGAACGAAACTCTTACATAACATCGTCATCAAACACTACGAAGAATATGGGAACCAACTTGACAAAAAATCAATAAGCAAACTTTATTGGGATTACTTTGTCAGAAAATTCAATTATCTAAACAGATGCACTTGGAGAATTATCTGCAAATGCATTCACTGTAACAACTGGAAAAAAACTCGAAACTCAAACTTAACTTGATGAAAACATGTAAATGACGGGACTCATAAACCCTTGGGAAGCGTGACTTCCCAGAAGCCTCAACTACTACTACTAATACTACTACTACTACTACTACAATAAAGCAAAAGGCACAAATGGAATATCACCAAGAGTTTATCAAAAGACGTCCAGAAATATGTCTCAATGTTGAAGAATATTAAGCGGCTACGCAAAATCCTGAGAGTTCAAAATGCCAGCAATGTCTCCAGTACTTGAAAAATCAGATAAAAGGATGGTAGGAAACTACATACCAGTTTCGCTCCTGAATATCGATAATAAAATCTTAGAGAAATGCATAACATAACACAGTGTAATAATTTCAGCAGATTTCTAACAAAAAATCAGCATGGTTTTGCCAACGGTCGATCTGTTAAAACTAATAAGCTTACTCTTGAACCGAGCTTTTGAACAAAGAGATAGAGCGGACTTCATAAGTCATCGTGTTTTGTACTGATTTTTCAGAAGCCTGGCATAAAGTTCCACATTCTGAGTTGATACGGAAACTCGTAGTTATTGAACTGGGTGGCAGTCTCCTTGAGATACTAATTGATCATCTTAAAAACCGAAATCAGTTTGTCAAAATAGATTATGGTTTCCTGCCGAAGCCTAAAAATTTTCAATAGCAGACCACTCAGCTTGGCCTAGCTAAGGTTTTGCTTTCAGTGTGATTGAAACCACCCTTTTTGGACTTTATATCAGAATGAGGGTAATAGCTTTTACATATATCACTGTGTACACTAAGACAGTGAAGTTGGACATCTTTTATTTGAGAGAAAAAATCTTGCAAATGTCAATATAACTTTAATGGGTTTTGGCAGTGCCTGCAGCGAGTATTCCATGCTGATATTTTAATACAAGAAATCTAAAACGTTTTATCATAAAAATAGCAACTTTTTTACTCGTTGAGTTTGTGCAATGAGTCCCGATCTAACTAAACCAGAGTCCCAAGGCTCACCCAACTGCTGCGTCTTAATGTGAATCATTTTTACAAGCTGTTATAAAAGTTTCATAATTCTATACAAAATCACATTAAATTAAAGGAGATAAAGCCCGATTAATCAATAATTTGAAACAATCTTTGTTGGTTTAAATCAGTTTTCTGGCGATTGTTTATTTCCATTTCTGAATTCATTTTGTTGTGCTGCTTTTTGCGAGCAACATTGCTGCCTACCTTGAATGAACCAAATTCTTTTAACACTGGCTGGTACCTTCCTTAGTTTGATGCAAGTCCGAATGTAGCAGCCAGCCACTTGTAGTTTAAATTGTCGCCGATCGGCCTTGGTTGTCTCTCGCAAGGTAGACTTGCACAACCCGAGCTAGTGGCTATTGTAAGGGGGGTTGGTTTACTTCCATCAAGAGCGCAGCATCACGCACTCGAAAATTTCGTTGCTTTGAATTTCACTTCTTCCAAGACTGCAGAGATGACAAGTACCCCTTACTCCATGGCTTTCCGAAAGTTCCGAAGAGTTTCTTTATGTTTGCCTACCACAGTCTAGCTGGATGTGTTTCAAACGGCTGAGGCGTACTTGTTATCAGTGGGGTCACTGATGTTGGCAGATACTGCATCTTTTCCTCTCACTATTAGCTGGTGTAAGGGTCAGAATCATCGGTGGAAATCGGAAGCAGTGGTCGTTAGTACAGAGTTTGTAGTAATTCAAAACATTGTTATCCATGACTCTTCTCAGATTCGATTTTGCAAGTTTCACTCCTGATTCTCGGGGAGCTTAATTTGTTCGTTTCGAATTAGCATCAGAGTGGCGATGCGTCTGTTCGTCAGTGGAATTGGATGATTGTAACTGCCCTCTAAATACTCATGCTTTCGATGTGCAAAATAGTCGACATAGCTAAGTACAGGAATGCACTTCTGTACACTGCTGAACTTAACAAGATCAATTAGCACGCGTTTGAGCAATTGGGAAATGTTAACAACTGCCGTTTTTTATCTTTCAGCACCGACTTTTGTTAGCTTTGGCTGGTCTGGAATCCGGATTTCAGAGAGCCAGTTCGGTCCATGCCAAGTGTGTGGAGTTTTCAGCGTCCTTGCAGCAAGTCCCCGAGTTACAGCATCCGCAGCAAGTCCCCGAGTTACAGCATCTTGCAGCAAGTCCCCGAGTTACTTCGGATTCCATCGTATCAGTTTGAGGATTGTCAAAGCTTTCAAAGAGATGACTCTTGAGTTAACCACAAGAAGATTGTTTGTTTTTGTCTTCATGTCCCTGATGTAGATGCAGCTGGCGTATGTTGTTTCTGACGCTTCAAAAAATACATGAAGCTCAAAAGATTCCTCCACAACATGTCTTTAGTGAACTTTAGTCCTCCACCTCGGAAAAGTCTCCCTCATATCATCGGGCAATTTGTTGTCCCACTTGATTCCCCGCGACCATGAGGATTGCATAGTGAAATCCAAAGTAAGCGTCATCGGATTCAGCCAGAGATGTCTGATAGCAGAGATAGTTTTGTCAAGTTCTTCTTAAGATCTTGGGCTACCTTGAAGACGAAGACATCATTTGTCGGAAGCTACTTGATTCCTAGTTGACATCTAACGTCACTGATCAGCTTCTTAGCAGAAGGTATGTCATCTTCGCCCGTCAACCAGTCGTCGACGTAGAAGTCTCGACTGATTGTTGTTCGACACAAGAGCTTTCCTGCTTGTGTGAATGATGGTACAGAGCAGAGTGACCACTTGGTCACTATTTTAGTGAGAAGTCACTATTGGTCACTATTTTTCAATGGTCACTAAAAGTCACTATTTACTACGGTTTTTGGTGACAGACCCTAAAATTTTTCCGAAGGCGCATTTGGCGCCAATATATACTAATATTGAGGGGGGAGCGCGCGCCGAAAAAACCCAATTTTTTTCAAAATTTTTCAAAAAGTGCCTAAAAAGTTTATTGAGAATGATGGCTGCGGCGCAGAAATTTTGGTCAAAACAGACTTTTCAGTGCTTTGGCAGAGGTTGAAAAAATCATTTGGTCAACCTAAAAAAAAAGTATTCGAAAATTGTCATAGCCACTATTCATCTTTCAAAAAAGTGGTCACCCTGGACTCCTGATTAACGAAGTTTGTTAGCAAAGCTTAATCAGCCTTGTGCTTGCTAAGTAATTGAACTGATCCCCTCAGTCTAGCCAAAAGTTTACTCATCTAGTGTGAGAGATCCTTCTCGTACTTGTATAACAGTGGTGAGCTCGTCAGTCAGCTCAACAGCACACAGAAGATCAGTGTTACCTCTTTTGTCGAAAGCTGGATCTGCTGGTGAATATCGAGACGGAAAGTTATGTTCGTGTACATCCATATGGCCGCCTGTTAGATCAGATGTGTTTGGGGCATGGAGAAATCTGCTCGTAATATGTATTCTCCAGGTAAGAACAAAGTTGTCGGCGCAAGACCTCTCGTCTCCAATGGGGGGCAGTTCCAACTGGTTTAACTGTTTGACTTGAGGCTGGTTCCATCTTCAGTTTTTAATTTCGGCTAGTTCAACAGAGCACTGAGGTGCATGATAACAATGAACTTTTTGTTGAGGAACATCCGCTCCATTAGAGTCCTGCTTGAAAGCTCGTAGTTCACATCAGTTATAGCTACATTCTTGACCAGGTCGTGTGCCTCTCCTCGAAGTTAAGATTTGAGGTAGTTCAATTTTTCAGCAGCACGTAGATTTGGGTTTCCTTGTACTGCCGAATCAAACTGGTCGATGAAGCTCACCCACTCTGTATACTTCCCACTGAAGAGGGCTTCTTGATCTTAGTGAAAACAATATTTGGAGCTCGCTTGCTTCTCTTATCGTTCCTCCAGAATACGCTCGCTGACCGTCCAAGTCTTTCGTTTGCCGACAAAGTTCTACCTCTGCTCGAAACTCACCAGCCGTCGGGTACAGCATCCTATATCAATCAATTCTTTTCGCTGATCGATATGAGTGTCTGTTTTGTGACCGCAAGAGAGAGTGGCATGCCCGCAAGGTCGGTCAGTAGATAGGTCGGTTGGGTTACGTTTATCCGGTCCCTAAGCTTAGAAATGCACATATTGTGACCACTTCTTGAGTGAAGAAGCTTCAGGTAGCTTCGTTCTGACTGATCGGGTCGTCCGTGTTGCATGCTCGCAACAGCTTAGTGATCGCTCTGCTCGCTCGAATTGCGTTGACCTGGTTGCTCGTTTGCAACTGATCGTAAATCGTCTTGCTCGTTCACGTATCAGTCATGGTTCGTAACAGTCATGGTGCGTTGGCATGGACCAATGGTTTCTCGCCGAAGCCTTAAAGTTTTCCGGACCACAGCTTTGCCTAGCTGAGATTTTGTTTTTTGTGTGATTCATTCCTTTATATGGTTTTACATCAGAGTGAGGGGAACAGTTTTTACCTGCTTCACTGTGGATACCAAGTTGTGTATTTTTTTTAGAAAGTTTTTGCAAATGTCAATTAACTTCAATGGGTATTGGTTCGTGACTGCAGCGAGTATCCAATGCTAATATTAAAATACAAGAACTCTAAAACCTTGTATCGCAATAATCGCATTTTTTTCTCATTGAGTTTGTGCAATGAGTCCCGATCCGGTCTCAATCTATGTAAAGAAGAGTCACATGGCTCACACAACTGCTGCGTGTTAATGTGGCTCAATTTTACAAGCTGTTATGACAGTTTGATAGTTATATACAAAATTGCATTACAAATAAAGGAGATAAATCCCACGCAGAATAAATGAATATTTTGAAACAATCTTTGTTGGTTTGAATCAGTTTGGCGGTTATTAATTTCCTGTTTTGATTTCATTATATTGCTTGCTGCGGGCAACAGAAAGTGGGCTCCAAGTTTTTGTTGAGTTCCCCAAAGGTCGCTTCTGGGACTGCTTCTGTTTTGCGTCTCCATAAAGGATCTACTCGATGTCCTCATGTTTTCACAACCCTCCGTAATTGCCGATTATTTCAAAAATTTTAGCTGTTCGAAAAAATTTCAGGCAAGTGCAGGATGATCTTCGTGCTATAGAAAGATTGATCTCGATAAATACAAGGAATCAACTATTGATTAATGTGCTCACTTAAAATTCAAAAGACAAAATGCGAACTTCAAATTATTGGGTGAAAATTTAGAAGAGAGTCTAAAGTAGTGGAAGATCTGGGGGTTACATGTAGGTAAAAGTTTTACTTGGAGCATTCACGTCGAAAGGACGAAAAAGGTGAAAACATCTGGTCTCTTTGAGCGGAATGTCTCGCTAAAGGTCGGGACAGTCTAAAAGCTGGCTTTGTATAAGTATTCGATACTTTCTATATAGTTGCATGGTTTTACTGGTGTAGCAGGAACAATCTTTGTTGGTTTAAATCAGTTTTCTGGCAATTATTCATTTCCATTTCTGAATTCATTTCATTGTGCTGCTTTTCGCGAGCAACATTGCCGCCTACCTTGAATGAACCAAATCCTTTTAACACTGACTGGTACCTTCCTTAGTTTGATGCAAGTCCGAATGTAGCAGCCACTTGTAGTTTAAATTGTCGCCGATCGGCCTTGGTTGTCTCTCGCAAGGTGGATTTCCACAACTTGTATCTTCCTTAGTTTGATGCAAGTCCGAATGTAGCAGCCACTTGTAGTTCAAATTTTCGCCGATCGACCTTGGTTATCTCTCGCAAGTTAGACTTCCACAACCATTGTAAGGGGGGTTGGTTTACAAGAGCGCAGTATCACGCACTCGAAAATTTCGTTGCTTTGAAATTCACTTCTTCCAAGACTGCAGAGATGACAAGTACCCCTTACTCCATGGCTTTCCGAAAGTTCCGAAGAGTTTCTTTATGTGTGCCTACCACAGTCTAGCTGGATGTGTTTCAAACGGCTGAGGGGTACTTGTTGTCAGTGGGGGCTCTGATGTTGGCAGATACTGCATCTTTTCCTCTCACTATTAGCTGGTGTAAGGGTCAGAATGGTTGCATGGTTTTACTGGTGTAGCATGAACTTGATAGGAAATAGTAAGGCTGAACAGATTCCAAATGAAGGTTGTTAAATGCATAACAGGAAACATAGACGCTGAATACAAAACGGCATTCAATTGAATAACGACTGAGACAAATTAAACCCTTTAGCATTGCTGCAAGATCTTAAGTGAATTGTTCAGGTGAAATTTGAAAACAGGTTGAGTCAAAAGTTACCCCACTTAAATAAGCTTCTGAACCGTTTTTTCTCTTACTTTTCAGTAAACACATGCATATCACCGAATAATAGCTATCTTTATATTGCTCTGAGGCACCCTTGACAGACTCACTGCCTGTTGGTGTCCCCCCAAGCATACTAACTGTTATTTACTTGGGAAAAATTATTTCTCATTGTTGTTTTTTTTTCTGAATATGGTCAGAACATTCTGTGCTACTTGGGCAGTAATCGGTATCCTTGTTTTTGTCTTTTTTCTTATCAATTTCTTATCTTGTCCTAACTTTTGCTGCTAGGCTCAATCGTTTTTTTAAAAAATTTTCATCTGATTCAAGTTTCGGTTTCAATGTGCCCCACCAACTTCAAAAACAATACGTTTTTTGAGCAGCGTAATCTAATAAAATTAAGAACAAAATTGAAATGGAAATTATGGTATATGTTTTTTTGTCAACTGTTTTGTTTTTCGCGCCTTAAATTTCAATAAGCTAGATTTCATGTTTTGAGTTTAACTTATTTGAATGCAAAGGCAAAGATAATTGTAACCTCGTATTTTTTCTGAAACGTATTTGCACTTCAAAACGAAAAGTTTTCAGATTAAGCTGTTAATCAACGAAGTTATTTATCACTTATTTCGGTCGATTGGTTTAGTTTGTTTTCATGAAGAAGTAAATTTAGTAACACTAAAATTTTGATTTTTTAGCGAGTTGACATTTGATTTTCATAGGTTCAATTCAAACTCGCTGGCATAATTGAAGACAAATTACGCTTTCTATTTGCAAAAGTGGCAATGGCGCAAAAAACGTGAATTTTACTTCTGTTGTTGAAATTGGATTTTAATTTTTAGAATCGCCAGCGGAATATAAGTTTTTTTTATTGATGCAAGGTTTTCTGATTGGTTTAGTGAGAAAAAAAGTTAAGCTTAAAGATTCTTGAATTTCGACGAGCGTTATGGTGATACATTGACCTTTTTTAACTTTGTTTTACATTGACGAAATTTGAAAGTTGAAAATTGTTTAAACGATATATAATTTGTTTAAACGGTTTTCTTGTTCATTGGCCTTTTTCCAAACGTCGGTTGGTTATCTTTTAAATGTTTGCTTACATGAGATGAAATTTTCAGATGATTATTTTTGAAAGCATCAAAGTTTTTGATCGCAGATAGTTTTTTAAAGTGGATATCTTTAGTAACTGTGAAAGATTTTGAGCATTCTCCAATATTTCATATAATTATTTAAATTTGTTTTTGATCACTCAGCGTCGCCTTTGTGTTGAAGTCTTTGGAAAGTATTTATGCATACAATAAGTTCTGCTGTGTCAATTTGTAAGAAAAGAACGTTGTAGAAAAAATGTTGTAGACACACTTTGATCACATAAATTTGAAAACAAGTTCATTCGATACATTCTCAAAAAAGATCTGCAGTTTTTCGTGCTCATTTGATTTATTTTGACCTTTTTTTCTATGTGTTTTGACTAAATTCTAAAAAGTAGGGGAATGAGGTTGTCGTGTTTTTTGGATCATTTTTAACTTTCTTTTTATATGTTTTTGCAAAATATTTAGAAGACGGGGGAATGGGTGGCAGTTAAGCTTTACTTTTACAAAGAATATCTGCGGCCAGAGGAGTACCATATCTTGCGCAACATCGAGCACAAAAATATCGTCAAGTTTCTCGCCTTTGAAACAGAGGTACCTTACTAAGCTGTGTTGATTCAAAATAAAATTTTAAGAACTAAAATCTTGAGAATTTTGTTATACTTATCAACTATTTTGTAGGCAATTAGTCAGAACCCAGTGCTAGTGATGGAGCTGTGTTTAAGTGGTTGTTTGCTCACTCATATTCAAAAACCTGAAAACTTCTACGGTCTCGAAGAGCAGGATTTTCTTGGACTTCTCCGCGACACTGGTAGAATATAACAAATTCACTTGTATCAGGGATTATTTATTGTCAACAGTTTTCTACTAGTATGTGCTATCTTTTGAAATATGAATGGCATTTTGAATGATTTTATCAATTATTTTAGTTGATCTCGTTGATGAAAAATGTTCCTCATCAAAATTTTCTTCCTTAATGTGGAAAATAATCAATTCAATGAACTTCAGCAAGAGGTTGGAACTATCTGCGAGAGAAGAACATAGTTCACAGAGACTTCAAACCGAACAACATTATGCGCTTTCTCAGAGATCCTCAAGGGGCACCAGAAGTCATCTACAAGATAACGGATTTCGGAGCCGCCAGGTTCCTACAGCAACAAGAGAACTTTGGCTCATTTCATGGAACTCATGAGTATTTGGTATGTTTATTTCCAGTAATATCTACTAAAAACCTTACAAGAATCTGTGTAAATTTGTGGAACTACTTGCGCTTTTGCCAATCATATAAGCGTTTTTGAATTATATCGGGCTTAAAATATTTACCCCAGATGTCTAGGAGATGGTTTGGAGAAAAGTTTTAAGATTCGATGAAGTTGGACGTTTTTGCAAATCATACCGTAAATTGTTGGCTATTTCAGCATCCAATGGTGTTCAGAGAACTGTTGAACTATGAAAACAGAGATCCCAACAAGAAATCATTTGATGCCTCTGTGGACATTTGGAGTCTGGGAGTGACACTTTATCACGCAGTTGCAGGACACATTCCATTTGACCCCTTCGAAGGCTGCAGGACAAACCCGGCCAAACACATGGAAATAGTTCGAAACATGACACCCGGTGTCATTTCCGGACGACAGCTGCACAAAAATGGAAGTATTTGCTACTCGAATAAGCTGCCGATTGAGTGTCAGTTGTCGGAGAACTGCAAAGAGTTAACTGAATATTTTTTGGCCAATGTGTTTGCGATGAAATGGCAATTTGGCGAGTTTTTCTTGACTGTTCAGAATTTGCTTAGCAAGGTGGTGATTCACGTTTTTGTGCTTCACTCAGGACAGGCTGACCGCATCTACATGAACAGTAATGACGGGTGAGATCATGAAATAGCTTGTTTTTTTTTGTACTAGTGAGTTTATTGTGGTCTCTTATATGCAATCCGCCTTCAATAACCTTATTCCAGTAAAACCATTGTAAATTTTAATTTGAAAGCAGTCGTTCTGTTCGCAATTTATGGCTACATCCTTTCTAATAAAGTGAATTTCCGGCTTAATGATTAGTCAGATTAACCTTGTAGCGCTCAATCTTGTATCGCTCAATATCAATCATCCCAATCAATCAACAGAAAATATAACTGAGAGTTTTGATTTAAAACAAACGTTGACCGCTGTAGATTTTAACGTTAGACTAGTAAATAAATGAGTTGAAGATTCTATTTTGGGTATGGCGTAATGCTGTGTCGCAATATTGGAGCATAATTTTATCACTGTAATCGAACTGAATAGAAGTTCTTTGTAATTACACAGAAAACATGTTTCTACAAATTAAACTATGGAGATTCGCTATAAACTTAGTGCTCGCAAAATTTTTTATTACACGTTATAAATAACAACGTTTTTTATTGCTGGTTTTTTTTGCTAGAGAGCAAGTGACTTGTTATCGAGAATTAAACTTTTTTTCGTAAATAAATTATATTACAAATCTGCTAGATATTGATTTTGGTATCTTATTGAACCTCCGTAGTTTTCAAGCCCTTCGTATTTGATCTTGTGGCAATTTGCCTGCCTTGTGAGCCTAAGGCCTTGAGTTCGAGTACCGGTCGGACCATGTTTACACTTGCTAGAGCTTGTGTCTTGCAATCGGGAACTAAATTTTTTCCCGTAAACAACCTTTCTTACAATTGTAAGAAATGGAAGTTGCTTCAATAGTGAAACTTAATAACATCCTTTCCTTTTGGTCTGGAGGTATGCAGAGGCCTTGGCATCCTATGGTCTGTTGTTCGAGTACCGACAGGACCTTGTTTTTATTAGTGAGGGAAACACACCATTGTCTGCCTATTGCTCTTGCTTTTTTGTCGGCTTCATTGACCCGTCGCGTATTTTTATTGAGTTGTGGGTACTTTTCCCTGTAATTACTGTAACTTAAAATTTATTAACCCTGGCTTCGCATGTTTTACTTTTTTTCACATGAAAGTTTCATTCGGCCTACATGGTTTCGGCTTTAGTTGTATTGACTTATTTTGTGTCATTTGAAGGGCAAAACTTTTTATTCAGGTCGGTCGTGGTGCAACAAATTTCAATGTTTAAAAACTTAATCGCTCAAATTTTTTGTAACGACAGTTTTTATGGCTTTTTTTTCTGTTTTAGTCTCAACGGTCTTGTATCCACTTATTGTCGGCTTAGTGGCCGCTGAATAAATAGTAAAAGCGAAAAGTTAGGTTATGTACGGAAGCAATTGAACAGCTAGGTCGAGCTTGATTTTCATATTGAATGCTGGTATTTGTGTAACCGACTGTTTTTATGAAATTGAATTTTTCATTTTTTCCTTAATTTTGTTTTGATAATATTGTTTTTCGACTTAGTTGTTAACGTTTCTGTTCGTTAGCTTGCAATGCTATGCATGCGTTGTATAGCACATAATGCGATGCTTCGCCCCTGTTTTTTAATATCTGGAATTTTAATTTTCTGGGACACGTTTTGGACTATAGTTTGTTTGTCTGTTTTTATTGTTCGAAGTCTCAAGGAGTTCTCACAGCGCTATTGTAAAGACACAGATGATTAATTTTCTTGATCTTGTGTTATTCAACGTTATAAGTTTCAGTGCCTGACGTGAAGACGTTTTTATAGGTGGCGATGGTTTTTTTAGTAAGTGTTCACGCTCAAGTTTTTCGCGGCTCGACTTTTGATTTCTTTTTAAGTTCGGTTCATTTCCTTTGTTGAAATGACGGCAAAATCATTTATGAACAGCAAAAGTGTAACGGTTACGAAAAAAGTGGAAAATTTATAGTTTAAGAAATGGGCTTAAATTTTCTGAATTCCTCGTGGAATGAAAAAATTTTGATCGATTTTTTTTCTAAATGGGATAACTTGAAGAAAAAAGTGCCAATCATAAATAACTCTTGAAATTCAAAGAGCTTCAACGCGATATATATCGAAATCAGAAAGTTGAATAAAAGCAATCATTGTTTTCTGTTAAATGAATTAGTGACTTTTTCAACTGTTTGCTAGCAAAGTTTTTTTTTGCAAATGAAAGAACTTGGGAGTCCTAAAACTTTTTCGGTGTACAATTTTCATCTTTTGGCTCTACGGAAATCTTCTCTAATTTTATTTTCCTAGTTTGCGCTTGGTAATTTTTTCCTAGTAGTTTCTTGACTTGTTTTCCTCCTATTGAACATCTTTTTAGACATACATTTGTATATGTAGTTTTTATCGACTTTTTATTCCAAATGTTTTTTGTACCTAGTGGTTTCTCTCATTTCCATCCGCTAGCTTGCAGTGCTATTTGTGTGATGCATCGCAAGTGTTCCGAAGCTTGGCTTCGTCTTCTGTATACGATTATACGTTCTAAGCGCACGACATGCCTAATAATCTAATAAGTGTGATACCGACAATACACTGGCCCGGACGTAGTTAATCGTGTCATGCACTGGGCGGAAATTATGCATTGTTTTGAATTAGGTATTCCCTGTTGCAAAGCAACATCCGGAGGCGTTTTTCTATCGACCCTTCGACAGAAATGAAGTTCATGCTGAACAACCAGGTGCTGGAAGTGTCCTCTCAATCAATGGCCACATTCCCAAAGACGTCCAACGAGAGTCCCCTTGTGATCACATTGGAGTTCAGTGAGCCATTCAACCTGGTCAAGGACCCACCAGTAGGTTAGAAGTGTATTACGTGTAAGTGTTAATGAACGAAGGAAGTGAATTTTCACATATTTAATTGGTGTGATTTTTTTAAGCAGAAGTTTTTAAGTTTGTTCACGCTCAAGCTTAGTGCGTTGTCATTGATAATTGCTCCCAATTTCAACAAAAATGACGGAGTTTTATGCTTGGTGATTTTCTATCCCCACCAGTTTCGACATTTTAACCGTTTTAGACGGAATATTTTATACCATATGAAAGATGTCGATGTACTGAGCTCAAATATTAAAAGATGTATCACCCGTGATTTTTTTCGATAAGTTTATGTGGGTTTGAATATGGCCAATGTGGGATAATTAAGTCGCGCAATCTATTCAGTTTTCTGCTAAAGCGTAGCTAATGCGGGTTATGCATTCAAATGATGTGTTAATAGCTGCAAATTATTCACTTTGTATCTTCATTCGGTGTGCAGACAAGAGAGAGGGGTTACACACTCCATAACAAAACTATTCATTGCACAAAAAATGATTGGTTGAACTTCGCTTCAAAGGTTGATTGTATCTTTCAAATTTCCAGAGTTGCAATGACACTTCATCAGTCCATCTACATGTCGGTTGTTTTCAATTTTCATTTACTGTTGCACTGATGAAGTGTCTCACAATCGGAGCTCGAAAGTTTCCTGTTGAGGCAACTACGTAACGTTGTCCGATTTTTTTGGTCCGGTTTCATAGTCGGAGAGTTGCACGAATCAGTTTCAAATTAGAGGCTGGTTTTTTATTCATTCGCTAGCGAAGTTTCTACGGGATAAGAAAAAGCAACAATTCGTCGGACGGAGAGTCTATAAAATTAGACAAGCAAATAAGACGCGACTAATTACAATGTTTCAGACTTATTTGCAAAATTTTAATGCAAAAAAATGATGTAATTGAGCTGGTTTTGGGTCTTAAAATTGTTTTCTGACGACAGTTTGCTTGCGGTTGAGCTTTCCTAAACACCAGGGAGTTTGTGATTAGTTTTGACCCCAGGTAAATCATGCAACAAATCACAGGTGTATAATTTACGCATTTAAAAGATGTTTTGAAGTGTTCGGGTTTTCGGATTTCATTTATAATATTTTGGATAAGCTTTGAGATAAAACGGTCTTTTTCAGAGTCGATGAAAGTAGTTCAGACTGTTATATAGGTCGCGAGTTTTTTTAGGAAGTCTTAAATATTGTTCAGGCTTAAATTTTTTTTTTCAGTTTTTTTTTAAGTTCAATTCATGTTCTTTGTTTAAAGGAAGGCAAACTCGAAAGTGAAGTCAAACTGCGAAAGTGTAAAGTTCACGAAAAACCTGATCGACTTTGAACATGGTATTTAATTAACAGATTTCCCGGCGAATGAAAAATTTTACCTATTGATTTAGTTTTCTCAACTTGGGTTAAATTATCAAAAAAAGTGTCAATAATATTTTGTTCTAGAAATCCAAGGAAATTTCAGGCCATCTTTTTTTCTTGGAGTTTCGAAAGTTCAGATTCAACATTTCGAGTTATAATTAGTAGCGAAAAGTTCGGACTGACAAATTTAGTTAACACGAGCAAATGACCAATGTAAGACAATTTTTGCATGCAAAAGCTATTTTTTTTAATGTCACAGAAAATGTGTCTCAATGTCAATGTCGCCCTAAAAATTCACATGCATGCAAAAATTGCTCAAATTTGGCAGATTTATCTTTTTTAATTATTTCTGTCTGTCCGAGCTTTTTGCAACTCTCTATTGGTTTTAACAAATTCATCGGACATTGTATAAATTGTTTCTTTGCTTAAAATAAAACTAATTAATGTAGTGAGTACTTATATCTATAGGTCTTGCTGTTTTTTTTTTTCAGGAAAAAGACTTAAAATTTATTCACGTTCAGTTTTGATTTTTCGCGGTTTGACTGGTGATTTCTTAAATTCAGTGCATTTCTATTGTTAAAAGGAAGGCCAAATCCACTTTGGAACAGCAAAATTGTAAAGATCACCAAAGACGTGGTCGACTTCTAATTTCGAAAATGGAAATTAATTATCAGATTCCCAGCGAAATAAAAGTTTTACCTATTGATACAGGTTTCTCAAATTGGGTTAATTTTAACCTTAAAGTGTCCATCATAAATTGTTCTATAATTTCAGAGAGCGTTAAGGCCATCTATTTTTTTCTTCGAACTTCAAAATTGAAGGCTCATGAAAAAACGAGTCCGTTTTTTTCAGTTTCCTTGCTTTCATTACTCTTTTCCAACTGTTACTTGGCTATGTTTTTAAATTGTGCTCTTAAAATAAAAGTTATACCTATTGATCCAGCGAAATAAAAGTTTTACCTATTGATACACGTTTCTCAAATTGGGATAAATTTAACCTAAAAGTGTCCATCAGAAATTGTTCTATAATTTCAGAGAGCTTTAAGGTCATCTATTTTTTTCTTCGAAACTCAAAAGTTGAAGACTCTGGAAAAAGAAGTCAGTTTTTTTTAGTTTCCTTGCGTTCATTACTCTTTCCCGACTGTTAGTTGGCTATGTTTTTAAATTGTGCTCTTAAATTTAGGCGAAATTGAAATTTTCAGAAAAAGTGTTATCATTCTGCATTGCTCTTTTGACAGTTCAAATTTGATTGCAGTTTTGACGCAATTTCACTTTTTCACTTCCTCAAGGTCCGATATTTCAAAAATTTAAGATGTTGTCCGATAAATTTGTTTTACCTTCTAACAAATATATCGGATAACGTCTTAAACTTGAGAAATTATGACCTTCAACCTGAAACTTATTAGAAATAATTCTATGAAGTTTCGTGTTTCCCTTTTTTTCGGCGTTTTAAGTGTTCTTATCTATTGAAAAATTGCATGTCAGATCGCTGCTGAATGAAAGATATTTTGAAATTAAAGTCTTGAAGTTATAGAGAGTTGCAGAAAGTTCGAACAGAAAGAATTAATTAAAAAGAGCAACTTTCTGGACATCAACGAAAATTAAAACTGAAATAAACATAACGTCGAAAGTTCATGAAGCAGAGATTCGCTCAAAACCTATAACAACTGTTGGCAATTGCATCCGAAGCGTCGAATAGTAAACCATGAAACAGGACAATTATTGTTCAGGGTAGCTTATGTTTTTCTACGATTAGTTTCCAAATTTTGAATGATTTGATTATCTTCACTTCCTTTTTTGGGGCGACCTAATCTGCTTTTTTTATTGAAAATAACTCTAGATATCAATTTTTTAAACTAATTTTGTTAGCTGTTTGATAATAAAATTTGAATGTTCATCGCAGTTTTTAAATATTAGGCTAGCAGAATCATCGGATAATCGACGATCTCGCATTTTGAATTCGGTCTGACAAAAAATTCAAGGTTGTTCGGCTTAAGATTTTGCATGCAAAAAAGAGTCGAAAAGCACTGATTGCTTATTTTAATTAATTCTGTATGTCCAAACTTTTTGCTACTAATTATATATTAAAAAAACGCATTTGGGTTCGCTCTTTCGACAGTTCAATCGCAATTTTGAAAATTTGGTTGTATTTTCAACGCTATTTCACTGTCTTAAGGTGAGATTTATTTCAGATATATAAGGCGTTGTCCGATAAAGGTGTTAAAAGCTACATAATTAGTAGCAAGAAGTTGGAACGCTCATAATTTAAAAAAAGCTATCTGCCAGTTTTGAGCAATTTTTGCATGCAAATTGGAATTTTTAGGTGACCTTGAGATATTGAGAAATTAAGCTATTTTTCTGAAATAGGTCATTTGCTCTTTTGAATTAGTTTTATCTGTTCAACTTTTTGCAACGTTCTATATACAAGGGTTGAGAAAAATGTTATAAAAGTTGCTGAAATTGATTTCTTATCTTCTATAATAAGTTGGAACAGAGAAATAATAAAAAATGAGCAATCTTAAATTTTTCAGTTAAATTGTGCATGCAGGTAGGATTGTAGGTGACCTTGAGACAGATTTTCTGTTGACAAAATAAGCTTAATAGTTTTTAACAAATTTATTGGGCCTAAAATTTTGTAATCATTCTGACCTTCAATCTGAAACTGTTAGAATTAGCTCTTTGCTGTTTCGCGTTCGCCTTTTTGTCGTCATGTTATGTGTTTTTATTATTGAAAAATTGCTTGTCAGATCGATGCTGAATGGGAGTTGTTTGGAAGCTAAGGGCTTTAAAATCTTCAAAACAAATTGACCGCTGAAAAAGCACAATCTTTTTGGTTTGCTCTTTTGACAGCTCACATACAATTTTGAAAGTTCGTTTGGCATTTTAATTCTCATGTCTGAAGTTCAGAATTTGTGATGAACTCAGTCTGTTTTATGTTAATTAGTTTTGCTCTATATTTTACGGAAAAAATGCGTGGTAAACCAATTTCAGCCGATTTTGCTTTTTACAAAATTTCGGACCATCGTTGTCGAAAATGAAGGTATTACTGGGTACAGAATTGGAAAAACTGTTGCTAATGAGCACGTCAACAGTTTATTGCATTTCGGAACGAAAAATTCGAAATAGTTACCGCCAAAATCTCAAAAAAACCAGGACCAAAACCTAAAATTTACGAAAATTAGCTGCAACTCGAATTCCTCGGTTGCATGGAACCAGCCCGATTTCACAAAGCAAATTCTCAAATCGGACTGGCGATTCAATTGACAACAGTTGTCATATTCGAAAAGTTGGATTGTTTTATTACCTATAACTGGAAATGAGTTATATTCAGTGACGAAATGGTAATTTGTTTAAGGCGTGGAAAAAATATGGAACATATTTTGGATACAAAAAACTAAATGATAAAAAAAAATAGTGACCCAGCCATATGACGAAAAACCTGGAACCGTTATTGTTCGGGGATAAGTGGTGGCAACTGGCTTGGATTGCCTTTATGCTGGAGTCAGAACCAGTAATGGAGAAAAGTACGTCGAAATTATGGCGAGTTTTCTGTTGCCGAGTCGAGAAAATTTGAACCCAGTCAAATTGTGCATTTTTCAATAAAATAATGCTCGGCCGCAAACATGTGTCACCAAAACCTGGTTGCGAGAAAATCAAATTCGATGTTTGATTTGGCAACATATTCACCAGATCTCAATCCTATCGAAAATGTTTGGGGTTTGATAAAAAATCGCCTGTATATACATCTGACGACTTCCCCTGAAATATTATCCAACGTTTGAAAAACCTTTGGCAGAGTTTGCTGCGCGGCTATGCTGTATCTCTTGCCCATTCAATGCAAAAAAGATGCTCAAAGTTATTCAAAAGCAAGGATTGGGATGAAAATATCCTCTCTCTGTTTTGTCATGTATCATTTTGAATTAATGCTCCTTTAGTTATTACACTTTGTATTAGTGCGAACTTTCTTTTTTTCCAACCTAAGTCGAAAATAAAAGTGCTAATTTTGGTGGCATTTTTGAATTGGTAGGCTGCGGTTGCAGTATATTATTATATGTGCTTTGAAATTTGATTAGTAAAAAGTTAACACAGCTGATGCATTTTTGATTGATCAAATGAACCGAAAAAACTACTTTGTTTCAAACACAGCACTACAATGATAAAAAACTCGTTTTCAAAAATTTTCCATGTCACTCTATCTCGCATTTTTTTGAAATGCATAATTTATACATTAGGCTTTATGCTTTCCAATTTATTACATGCGAAATTGTGTCTTTTTGTATTTGGTGCTATTTCTACTGCATCGAACTCGCAATTTATTATTATATGTATCTGCTTTTTTGGTAGTTGGTTTTAACTTTCTAGAGCTGCATTTTCTTCGTGTTCTCACAAGTGTTCGCGAAGCGCAGCTTCACCTCTGTGTTTGAAATTAGTTCTGTTTAGTTTATTGTCATTTTTTCGCGTTCGTTGGCCTAAAAGCATATTGCCAACAATTTGGCGTTAACTATTACTCAGAAATTTAAGGCGTTGTCCGATAACATTGTTAAAAATTATACCGCAAAAACTGCCTGAACAGGTCATTGTTTCGACTTTCGTAAGGAAACTATTTGTGCTCTGGTGGATTTTTTTTCTACAGACAAATTTGGACTTTTTAGCTAGCCAATTTTGACGGAATTTTTTTAAAAAGGTATTGTTGTTCTGAGCCTAAATTTGAAAAAAATTTTACCTCATCATTTTTCGTAAAGATATTGGGGTGTAAAGATTGCCATTTTGGCCAATTTGGGACAATTAACACGCGATATATTTCGCGCTATTAAGGCGTAAGCGGAGATTTAATCCGTCTTAGAAATCGTTCCAAATTGTTTGAAGGAAGCTTATTTGTCATAATTGGTTTGTTACTAGGAGCGAAATCTGTCATTTCGTACTTTGTGGCGTGTGGGGGGATGAGTTTCACAAAAAATCTCAAATTACAAAAAAATATATTTTTATTTATTAAATTTAATTTTTTCATGTTATTACTGCTCCATAGACCTTAAGAGGCAGTCGGAACAGTCAGGGCCTCGCTCTGATACGAGCAGTTTTGTTTAAATTTTGTATTTTCCACATTGCTGCAATTCTCTATAAATGCTGAATTGAATTTTTTTTCGAATTATCTTCATCTTGTTTTCAGTCAACGCACACAGTTTTCAAACGTCAGACTCGAGAAAGGACAGCAAGAAGGCGAGAGAGATCTGTGCAGACATCCACAGGATCAAGAGACGCATCGAGACATATCACTCCAAGTCGGAACTGATCAAATCAACCACCGATAATGTCATGTGAGTCACCGCTTTCTAAGAACACCAGTAATATTCATGACGTAAATTGAGATATGTTGACTCTCTGATAATGGGGCTGCTCTCATGCGCGAAGGACCGAATGGGCGAAAAAATTCGTGAGCGAAGGACCGAAAACAAAATTAGCCGACAGTCAATTTTTAAAAAGAAGCAATTGCCATTCAATTAAAATGAATTCAATGAAGCAATATTTTCCTTGGTCACGAAACGGCCCTTGAAATATGAAGTTTGTTCCAATTCGGCAGCGGTCAGTGGCAATTTGAAAATTTTGCATATTTCTGCCGTTTTTATATTCGGCCAATATCAGTATTAAGTCCGTTTTTATATTCGGTCAATATCAGTATTAAGTCCCTGGAAATGTTTACTTTCTTTCCAAGGTCTTAGATTGCTGAAATCTGATTGGCTGATTTGTATTTTCGCGCATTCGGTCCTTCGTGCATGAGGGATTCCACCTCCGATAATCATTCAATTGTTTTTTTAGTGCCACATTCAATTCAAACGTTGAAAAACTTCATGCATCTGTACAGGATTTAGTGGAAGTTGCCAAAGCTAACGACACTTCTCTGGATATTGCGTACGAAAAGTGAGTACAAATGCGGTGCGTATTCACAAGTTCCAAAATGAAAAATCAGTCCCATAGGTTCCAAAATAAAATAGCAGTCGCATAAGTCCCAAATTTTTTCAATTGGTCAAAAGATTAAATTAGCCGAGTCTCGGTTTTAAGGTAGCCGGTGGGTGCGCTACGCGCGCGTCGCCGCTTCGCGGCGATAACCGGCTCTAAATTTCGTACAGCGTCCTACCCTTTGCTGGCAAGCTCGCAACACGTTGGTGCGGCTGCGGCGGTCACTATTCTGCTGTTTGAGTTAACGCTGCTTGAACAGTATACAATCAATCCAGAAATTCATTGGCTCAAGTTTCAACCAATCAGAATTCAATAAGGTACATTTTGGAACTTATGCGACTGATTTTTTTATTTTGGGAGCTATGAATATTGGAACTAATGGGAATTCACCACAAATGCTATTGCCGAATTAAAAAGTCATCGACAAATTTCGGCGTGAAATCGAAAATGTCGAGAAATTGTATTATTTTCATTTTTCTAACTTACTGTTATAAAGAGTAATGAACGTAGCGAAGACTATAGATTATTCTTTTGTTTTTAGTTGTCGATGAACGTAGTTCAGACTCTTATATAGGTCCCGATGGTTTTTTGATAGGTCCCGAAACTCCAATATCGAACAGCAAAGTTTAGAGGTAACGAAAAACGTGATCGACTATTGTTTCGAAAGTGGGATTGAGTTATCAGATTTGAGCAATTATTGCAAGCAAATTTGATTTTTATAGGTGACTTTGAGACATCTTTTCTGTCAGAAAAATTGCAATTAATTTCATCAAGAAAGTGCTTATCATAAGATGTTCTTGAATTTCACAGAGCTCTAAGGTTATCGACTTTTAGTTTCGAAAATGGAATTGAATTATCAGATTTCCAGCGAATAAAAAAATTTTAGGGTGATATATTACAATAGGTGGCAGATTCAAGTTAAATAGCTGGATTGATCAACAATAATACAATACAACAAGACTGCTCGTATCAGGGCGAAGCCCTGAATGTTCCGACTGCCTTTTAAGGTCTATGGAGTAGCAATAACATTGTGAAAACATTTCCCAACACGCCATATTAAGTACAAAGTGATAGATTTTGCTCCTATTAACAAATCAATTATGACATATAAGCTTCCTTGAACTAATTTGGAACGATTTCTAAGACGGATTAAATCTCGCTTACGCGTTAATAGCGCGAAAATATCGCGTGTTAATTGTCCGAAATTGGCCAAAATGGAAATCTTCAAACCCCCATAACTTTACGAAAAATGATCACAGGTGAAATATCTTTTCAAATTTAAGCTCAGGACAACAATAGCTTTTGATTGATATTAAAAAAATTCCGTCTAAAACGGCTAGTTAAAAAGTCGAAATTTGCCTGAAAAAAAAACCCACCCCGAGAACAACTATTCCGTTACTTTCGTTACGAAAATCTGAACAATAACAGTTATACTTCGAACAGTTGATATAATTTATTTCGACGCCAAATTTTTTGACAAAAGAAGTGAATGATTTGAATTTTCGAATAGCTTTTCATCGGGCGGAGTACTACATTACAAAACTTATCTTAGTAGATTGTACAATTGATTGAAAATGAAATTGATTGAAAATGAAACTACTATATTGTATAAGAGTTGTCAAATTTAATACATGCACGACTCAAATAGTTCTAAGGATTATTAACTACTGTAACATATCACCCATTTTACCTATTGATGCAGTCAAATTGGGTTATTTTTTAAATCAAAAAAGCCTTTATCATAAACTGTTCTTGAAATTCAAATAAATTTTTCAAATTTCGAAAGCCAGTTTTTTCGGCTTCCTTGCGTTCATTACTCTTTAACAAGTGTCAGTTGGCTATGTTTTTTTTTAGTAGAGAATGATCAACTTAGGTGAAAACATGCAATAAGGAGACATCATTATAGCTAAAATAATCATCAACTTGTAGTAGCATTAAATTGATGAGGTGGCCTTCTGAGCAGTTTTTCTTTACAGTCAGACAACTTAACATGATACCACACTTTCCTTGAAATGGTCAAAACAGTCTGGCAAAAACAAAATTAAAAACGGAACCTAATCAATAAGTAAGAAGATATCTGATTTTTGTGCTGGTTATAAATAATAAACACGTCTTATTGTATTGTTTCAGCTATGTTAGTGTCTACCGACTAGCAGGAGAAGTGTACCAAACTACAAATGAGAACTGCACAGCCATTCTGACATCAGTATCAGCCAATATAGAGGAACAAAGGGAACGATTTCAGGCTACGAAGAGGGAACTGAGTAGTCTGGACCAGGAGCTGAAGCATCTCCACAATGAGTATGTTGTCAAGGGATTCCTGCAGCAGGAAGTGAAGGAGCAAGAGCCAATGGAGACCATATCAAGTTACAAGTAAACACTTTTGTTTTTGTGGATCAGGTCAGTGTAGGTCGAGAGGTTTCATGTTCTTTTTCCAATTTATTTTCAAAATGTAAGACAATTTACGCTCTACATAACAAAGTGTAAAAACGTGATTTATCGTTGGTCCGATGATGTATGTTAAAGATCGCTTTTGATTGTCTGTCAAAACATTTGAATAGCCAAGTGAATATGATTTAATTATTATGGGGAATGACAGGGTCAGTTTTTCAGTGTTGGGATTATGGGAAGTATTTATTCGGACGCACTGGATCTGCTCAAGAGCATCGAGATGCGAGAGAGAAGAAGAGTCAATAATTCAGCAGGTTAATCACTACTAGAAACCATCGAAATCTTCCATTGCATGTATAAGCCAAGTTATCGAGGGGTTGAGGGTGCCTGTGGTATAGAAAAACCAGTCTTGGTGATTATGTAACTCTCATGCAAAGTTCATAACACTCATGCAAAGTTCAACAACAGCAATGTAGCACTCATGCAAAGTTTGTTTTTACTTTGGCTGGCTTACTCACGCTAGGTGACGCTATTGAAGGGTGTTAAACTGGCTGTAAGTAACGGTGCACTGACGAAGTTAGATACCCTGACGGCTAACCTTCTTGGATTGAAAATTATTGCCCAGAAATGAATAGATTACTTGAAAATTCTCTGAAGCTTGTTTTTGTTAATGAATTTTTTTTCTAGTTCAAGAAGAGCAGTCAGTGGACCAAGTGATTGACAGGTTCGATGTTTAACTTGATACCAGCATAAACTCAGAATTATTTTTCTAATTGAGAATGAACTCGAAATTTCAGGAGCGTGTTGATAAATTTGTACAACAAAGCAAGCGAGCATCTGAAAGTAAGTATCAGTTTTGTTTTGTCTCATTGCCATGTAGAAAATTTGGTTCTAGAATTTGTTAATATTCCGTCCTTTCAGAATTGCTCCCAGATGCTGCAATGTCTGCATGACCAAAGGAAAGATTTCTTCTCGACCCTAAGTGAAGTCGATCGCCGGGTATCCGAACTGTCATCCAAAACGATGAAGCTGAGAAAAGACCTGAATGAATTCACCACTGACATTACAGCAGTTAGAAAAATTTTGAAATCTTGTGCTATAATCCTTTCTATGGTGCCTTGTGAAGAAAATCAACGCGCATAAACGACTAGTTCAATGGTTAAATATGTGCTAAGAGAATATTTCATCCTTCGTTGAAAATATCCAAAAAATGTGCTCTGAAGATTTATTGGTGTTGGCCCAAAAACTTTGTTTTGTTGAAAAGATCCAAAAATTGTGCTTCTTGATCGAATGCAGATGAGTTGAATGACGTGTTTCAGGTTCAGCGCCAAAATGTGGAAGATATTCAGAACAAGCTGCTGCCTATTCTGAAGAGTCTTTTTTTGAAAAAAGTGAAAAAGGAAGTAAAGCTAAAGAAAGAGTAAGTCGTCACCTTTTTCATCTGATTAATGACTAAGAGAGCATTGAATTAAGCTCCACGAACGCACTAACAGAGATCCAAAAAAGACTAGATGTTTTAAACGTTTCTTTCGCCTGTTGATTACAGAAAAAAGCGGCGTCGTATCATATTACGAAGTTCACTTTGTTCCAACCCAACTCGCCAGTGAAAGTGCTTATTTATTGGCACATTTGCTGGCATGGCATTGGCAATTAAATAGCATCTGTTGTATCTGCTAAATTCGTGGCCAGTGTTTATGTTTTCTCAAGCCTTTATGACGCAGTTGCGTTCACGTGATACTCATCTCTAGATTGGAGCTTTGATTCCGGCACAAAACGGGGAGTTTTTTTTTTTAATTCCTACCTTTTTTCCTTAATTCACTATTCTAATTTTTGAGAGCTACTTTTAACGGCTTTATTGCCTGTGTTTGCGGGGTGCAGCGTTGCCCGTGTAATGAAAATTCAAACAAAACATATTTTTGCGTGAGGGTTTGGTAATCGTAAATCTAAAATTTTGCAAAGAGCCAAATCTAGATATTTTAGGAGTAAAATAATGATTTTCCTGCATTTTCAAATACAGAAGTAGTGACCAAGATATGGAGTGCGCCTCCTCTACTCTTTCGTAAAATAGCTGTTTGCTCATAGAATTAATTGAAAATTCTAGAGCGAGGCGTGATTGACTTTCTGATTTTGGTGTTTAGGTTTAAGATTCTGGCTAATCAGTTGATGAGTCTGCAGTCGACGACGGAGATCAATCAACAACTTCTACAGGACGTCATGTGAGTTTCTCTACGCACACCGAAAATGATGTAAATTTATAAAAATTCAGTGTTCTGAATATGCTTTATGGCATTACGTGAAGTTAAGCTCATTTTAAACTTATGTAATCATCACTTATGTTCATTGATTTTTTCAGATCTGCAAGAACTGCTAATGCGAGCAACATTGACGGCCTTTCTTCTCACTTCTCATCCACCAATATTTCCGTCGACAGTGACGCTGTTAGCAGTGCGCCTGAAGAATGATGATTAGAACTATTTTGGCCACGTGCACAAAAACTGATGAATCGAATCCAGTACTGTAATAATTTTCTTCATGGTCTGATACCGTATTCTATGCATCAGATCGAAAAGCAAGCTGGATGTGTTCGTTTATGATGATATTGGTTATTGATGAAATTTTGATTAGAGGAAGAGAAGAACATTTAATTTTTTAAATATATAGTAGCATTTACTTCAATTCAATGTTAGTTAATTTAGAGTTCTTTCAAGTAATGACTGGATTAAGTAATCGGATGTCCTCAAAAGTAAGTCTGGAAAAATGAGCTTTTATTCTGGTCTCTTAATTATGTGTAATGTTTTTAAACAAAAAATTCCATCAGCTGCAAATGAAAAGCAAATCTTTCTTAATTCCTGTTTGATAAAAACGTATAATGAAAATATATGGGATCGGGTTATTTTATTTTTTATTTTGAAATTGTGGGTGGAATTTTTGACCTATATTTTTGAATTGTTGACATTCTCAAAAACAACCGTTCCAAAGCTAAAATGCTGAATTCAATGGATTGAGCAGGTTGTGGGAAGCTCCCCTGTATTAGCGGCAACGCCCAATTTTTTTTGCACGAAAAGTTATGGCCCTCAGAAAAGTCAAATTATCGATTTTTTTTTACCGTTTTTTGAAACTTGGTTTTTTTTCTCAAAAACTAACTGCCAGAATCTGAGATTTTTGGCTGAATGAGTAGGAGTTGTGGAAAGCTACCTTGCATACGCTGCTGCGCCCAATTTTTTTGACACAAAAAGTTTTGGCCCTCAGAAATGTCAAATTTTCGATTTTTTTCCTGTTTTTAACTTTTTGACTTTTCTTAAAAACTACCCTCCCAAATCAGATTTTGGTTTCCATAGGAAAACGGGTTATGGGAAGCCCACTAAATGATTGGTAAATGGTTGCGCCTAAATTTCATACAAAAGTTATGACCCTCGGAAAAGTCAGTTTTGATTTCTTGTCCGGTTTTTCGAAACCTTTTGACTCCTCTCGAAAACAACTCAATCTAATATCAAAGGTTCAATCACGGCAATAGTTTGTGGGAAGCCTTCCTGCAAAAGATGCTACGCTCTAAAATTTGTTCGTAAAAATTCTGAGAAAAATCTTTGGGAAAATTCCAAAATCACAAAAATTTCACTCTTATTTCAATCCGGACAAAATCCGGGCTGCTTCAAATTATCCGGACAAAACTTGAAACTTGAAGGGCGTTTTTCTCAAAATGAAGAGTACAGCAATAGCTTAGAATTTCACTTGAATTATCATACTGCAAATTATATTGCGAAGTTTGCAATCAAAACTGGAACCCAAAAATGGTGCATTATGGCTTTTTTTCAGTTAATCAATAATTACGCATAAATTGCTAAGTTAATCTAAACAAAACTCTAAAAGCCTCTCACACAGCCCAATAACTATTGAATACATTTTTCGAAAGATTGAACGAATCGGTTGAAATTTGTTTTTTTCGAGTCTTATATAATATAAATGACATTTTTGTTGTATCTGCTAAATTCATGGCTAGTGTTTATGTTTTTTCAAGCCTGTTTGATGCAGTTGCGTTGACGTGATACTCCTAATCTCTAGGTCGGAGCTTTGATTCCGGCCGAAAACGCGAGTTTTCTTTTTTAATTCCTACCTTTTTTCCTTAATTCACTATTCTAATTTTTCAGAGCTATATTTAACGGCTTTATTGCCTGTGTTTGCGGAGTGCAGCGTTGCCCGTGTATAGAAAATTCAAACGAAACGGGATTTTGTGTGAGGAATTGGTAATCGTAAATCTAAAATTTTGCAAGGAGAGCCAACTCTAGATATTTTAGGAGCAATATAATGATTTTCCTGCATTTTCAAATACAGAAGTAGTGACCACGATATGGAGTGCGCCTCCTCTACTCTTTCGTAAATTAGCTGTTTGCTCATAGAATTAATTAAAAATTCTAGAGCGAGGCGTGATTGACTTTCTGATTTTGGTGTTTAGGTTTAAGATTCTGGCTAATCAGTTGATGAGTCTGCAGTCGACGACGGAGATCAATCAGCAACTTCTACAGGACGTCATGTGAGTTTCTCTACGCACACCGGAAATGATGTAAATTTATAAAATTTCAGTGTTCTGAATATGCTTTATGGCATTACGTGAAGTTAAGCTCATTTTAAACTTATGTAATCATCACTTATGTTCATTGATTTTTTCAGATCCGCAAGAACTGCTAATGCGAGCAACATAGGCGGCCTTTCTTCTCACTTCTCATCCACCAATATTTCCGTCGACAGTGACGCTGTTAGCAGTGCGCCTGAAGAATGATGATTAGAACTATTTTGGCCACGTGCACAAAAACTGATGAATCGAATCCAGTACTGTAATAATTTTCTTCATGGTCTGATATCGTATTCTATGCATCAGATCGAAAAGCAAGCTGGATGTGTTCGTTTATGATGATATTGGTTATTGATGAAATTTTGATTAGAGGAAGAGAAGAACATTTAATTTTTTAAATATATAGTAGCATTTACTTCAATTCAATGTTAGTTAATTTAGAGTTCTTTCAAGTAATGACTGGATTAAGTAATCGGATGTCCTCAAAAGTAAGTCTGGAAAAATGAGCTTTTATTCTGGTCTCTTAATTATGTGTAATGTTTTTAAACAAAAAATTCCATCAGCTGCAAATGAAAAGCAAATCTTTCTTAATTCCTGTTTGATAAAAACGTATAATGAAAATATATGGGATCGGGTTATTTTATTTTTTATTTTGAAATTGTGGGTGGAATTTTTGACCTATATTTTTGAATTGTTGACATTCTCAAAAACAACCGTTCCAAAGCTAAAATGCTGAATTCAATGGATTGAGCAGGTTGTGGGAAGCTCCCCTGTATTAGCGGCAACGCCCAATTTTTTTTGCACGAAAAGTTATGGCCCTCAGAAAAGTCAAATTATCGATTTTTTTTTACCGTTTTTTGAAACTTGTTTTTTTTTCTCAAAAACTAACTGCCAGAATCTGAGATTTTTGGCTGAATGAGTAGGAGTTGTGGAAAGCTACCTTGCATACGCTGCTGCGCCCAAATTTTTTGACACAAAAAGTTTTGGCCCTCAGAAATGTCAAATTTTCGATTTTTTTCCTGTTTTTAACTTTTTGACTTTTCTTAAAAACTACCCTCCCAAATCAGATTTTGGTTTCCATAGGAAAACGGGTTATGGGAAGCCCACTAAATGATTGGTAAATGGTTGCGCCTAAATTTCATACAAAAGTTATGACCCTCGGAAAAGTCAGTTTTGATTTCTTGTCCGGTTTTTCGAAACCTTTTGACTCCTCTCGAAAACAACTCAATCTAATATCAAAGGTTCAATCACGGCAATAGTTTGTGGGAAGCCTTCCTGCAAAAGATGCTACGCTCTAAAATTTGTTCGTAAAAATTCTGAGAAAAATCTTTGGGAAAATTCCAAAATCACAAAAATTTCACTCTTATTTCAATCCGGACAAAATCCGGGCTGCTTCAAATTATCCGGACAAAACTTGAAACTTGAAGGGCGTTTTTCTCAAAATGAAGAGTACAGCAATAGCTTAGAATTTCACCGGAATTATCATACTGCAAATTATATTGCGAAGTTTGCAATCAAAACTGGAACCCAAAAATGGTTCATTATGGCTTTTTTTCAGTTAATCAATAATTACGCATAAATTGCTAAGTTAATCTAAACAAAACTCTAAAAGCCTCTCACACAGCCCAATAACTATTGAAAACATTTTTCGAAAGATTGAACGAATCGGTTGAAATTTGTTTTTTCGAGTCTTATATAATATAAATGACATTTTTGTTGTATCTGCTAAATTCATGGCTAGTGTTTATGTTTTTTCAAGCCTGTTTGATGCAGTTGCGTTGACGTGATACTCCTAATCTCTAGGTCGGAGCTTTGATTCCGGCCGAAAACGGGAGTTTTCTTTTTTAATTCCTACCTTTTTTCCTTAATTCACTATTCTAATTTTTCAGAGCTATATTTAACGGCTTTATTGCCTGTGTTTGCGGAGTGCAGCGTTGCCCGTGTATAGAAAATTCAAACGAAACGGGATTTTGTGTGAGGAATTGGTAATCGTAAATCTAAAATTTTGCAAGGAGAGCCAACTCTAGATATTTTAGGAGCAATATAATGATTTTCCTGCATTTTCAAATACAGAAGTAGTGACCACGATATGGAGTGCGCCTCCTCTACTCTTTCGTAAATTAGCTGTTTGCTCATAGAATTAATTAAAAATTCTAGAGCGAGGCGTGATTGACTTTCTGATTTTGGTGTTTAGGTTTAAGATTCTGGCTAATCAGTTGATGAGTCTGCAGTCGACGACGGAGATCAATCAGCAACTTCTACAGGACGTCATGTGAGTTTCTCTACGCACACCGGAAATGATGTAAATTTATAAAATTTCAGTGTTCTGAATATGCTTTATGGCATTACGTGAAGTTAAGCTCATTTTAAACTTATGTAATCATCACTTATGTTCATTGATTTTTTCAGATCCGCAAGAACTGCTAATGCGAGCAACATAGGCGGCCTTTCTTCTCACTTCTCATCCACCAATATTTCCGTCGACAGTGACGCTGTTAGCAGTGCGCCTGAAGAATGATGATTAGAACTATTTTGGCCACGTGCACAAAAACTGATGAATCGAATCCTGTAATGTAATAATTTTCTTCATGATCTGATACCGTATTCTATGCATGAGATCGAAAAGCAGGCTGGATGTGTTCGTTTATGATGATATTGGTTATTGATGAAGTTTTAATTATAGAAAGAGAAGAACATTTAATTTTTTAAATATATAGTAGCATTTACTTCAATTCAATGTTAGTTAATTTTGAGTTCTTTCAAGTAATGACTGGATAAAGTCATCGGATGTCCTCAAAAGTAAGTCTGGAAAAAAGAGCTTTTATTCTGGTCTCTTAATAATGTGTAATGTTTTTAAACAAAAAATTCCATCAGCTGCAAATGAAAAGCAAATCTTTCTTAATTCTTGTTAAAAACGTATAATGAAAATATATGGGATCGGGTTATTTTATTTTGAAATTGTGGGTGGAATTTTTTGACATAAATTTTTGAATTGTTGACATTCTCAAAAACAACCGTTCCAAAGCAAAAATGCTGAGATCAGTGGATAGAGCAGGTTAAGGGAAGATCTCCTGTAAAAGCGGCAACGCCAAATTTTTTTTTGCACAAAATTTATGTCCCTCAGAAAAGTCAAATTATCGAATTATCGATTTTTTTTTACCGTTTTTTGAAACTTTGATTTTTCTCAACAACAAACTGCCAGAATCTGAGATTTTTGGCTCAAGGAGTAGAAGGAGTTGTCGAAAGCCACCTTGTATACGCGGCAGCGCCAAATTTTCTGACACAAAAAGTTTTCGCCCTCAGAAATGTCAAATTTTCGATTTTTTTTCCGTTTTTTAATTTTTTGACTTTTCTCAAAAACTATCCTCCCAAATCAGATTTTTGGTTTCCATAGGAAAATGGTTGTGGGAAAACCCACTAAATAAATGGTAAATGGTTGCGCCTAAATTTCATACAAAAGTTATTACCCTCGGAAAAGTCATTGTTTTGATTTCTTGTCAGGTTTTTTTAAACCTTTTGACTCCTCTCGAAAACAACTCAATCTAATATCAAAGGTTCAATCACGGTAATAGTTTGTGGGAAGCCTTCCTGCAAAAGATGCTTCGCTCTAAAATTTGTTCGTAAAAATTCTGAGAAAAATCTTTGGGAAAATTCCAAAATCACAAAAATTTCACTCTTATTTCAATCCGGACAAAATCCGGGCTGCTTCAAATTATCCGGACAAAACTTGAAACTTGAAGGGCGTTTTTCTCAAAATGAAGAGTACAGCAATAGCTTAGAATTTCACCGGAATTATCATACTGCAAATTATATTGCGAAGTTTGCAATCAAAACTGGAACCCAAAAATGGTTCATTATGGCTTTTTTTCAGTTAATCAATAATTACGCATAAATTGCTAAGTTAATCTAAACAAAACTCTAAAAGCCTCTCACACAGCCCAATAACTATTGAATACATTTTTCGAAAGATTGAACGAATCGGTTGAAATTTGTTTTTTCGAGTCTTACATAATATAAATGACATTTTTGTTGTATCTGCTAAATTCATGGCTAGTGTTTATGTTTTTTCAAGCCTGTTTGATGCAGTTGCGTTGACGTGATACTCCTAATCTCTAGGTCGGAGCTTTGATTCCGGCCGAAAACGGGAGTTTTCTTTTTTAATTCCTACCTTTTTTCCTTAATTCACTATTCTAATTTTTCAGAGCTATATTTAACGGCTTTATTGCCTGTGTTTGCGGAGTGCAGCGTTGCCCGTGTATAGAAAATTCAAACGAAACGGGATTTTGTGTGAGGAATTGGTAATCGTAAATCTAAAATTTTGCAAGGAGAGCCAACTCTAGATATTTTAGGAGCAATATAATGATTTTCCTGCATTTTCAAATACAGAAGTAGTGACCACGATATGGAGTGCGCCTCCTCTACTCTTTCGTAAATTAGCTGTTTGCTCATAGAATTAATTAAAAATTCTAGAGCGAGGCGTGATTGACTTTCTGATTTTGGTGTTTAGGTTTAAGATTCTGGCTAATCAGTTGATGAGTCTGCAGTCGACGACGGAGATCAATCAGCAACTTCTACAGGACGTCATGTGAGTTTCTCTACGCACACCGGAAATGATGTAAATTTATAAAATTTCAGTGTTCTGAATATGCTTTATGGCATTACGTGAAGTTAAGCTCATTTTAAACTTATGTAATCATCACTTATGTTCATTGATTTTTTCAGATCCGCAAGAACTGCTAATGCGAGCAACATAGGCGGCCTTTCTTCTCACTTCTCATCCACCAATATTTCCGTCGACAGTGACGCTGTTAGCAGTGCGCCTGAAGAATGATGATTAGAACTATTTTGGCCACGTGCACAAAAACTGATGAATCGAATCCTGTAATGTAATAATTTTCTTCATGATCTGATACCGTATTCTATGCATGATATCGAAAAGCAGGCTGGATGTGTTCGTTTATGATGATATTGGTTATTGATGAAGTTTTAATTATAGAAAGAGAAGAACATTTAATTTTTTAAATATATAGTAGCATTTACTTCAATTCAATGTTAGTTAATTTTGAGTTCTTTCAAGTAATGACTGGATAAAGTCATCGGATGTCCTCAAAAGTAAGTCTGGAAAAAAGAGCTTTTATTCTGGTCTCTTAATTATGTGTAATGTTTTTAAACAAAAAATTCCATCAGCTGCAAATGAAAAGCAAATCTTTCTTAATTCTTGTTTGATAAAAACGTATAATGAAAATATATGGGATCGGGTTATTTTATTTTGAAATTGTGGGTGGAATTTTTTGACATAAATTTTTGAATTGTTGACATTCTCAAAAACAACCGTTCCAAAGCAAAAATGCTGAGATCAGTGGATAGAGCAGGTTAAGGGAAGATCTCCTGTAAAAGCGGCAACGCCAAATTTTTTTTTGCACAAAATTTATGTCCCTCA